GATGGTGCCAGCTATTAAAAGATATAGCATCTGTGGCTTCAAGGCTTCAACTTAAACAAGCAGCCATTCAGCAGGGAAGCAACAAATCCCATGTGGAAGAATTACACCAGCCTGTGTGATCACATGGTGTCAACAGGATGAGGTATCAGGCATGAGAAGACCCCAAAAAATCATATTGATGTAACTGACTGGGGTTGGAGTGGAGATCCAAAGCACATCCTTGGGAAACAGAAAAATTTCTCCCAAGTCATGTCCCCCAAATATGATAAACTTAGGATACTGCTTGCAGCTAATGATAAAAGTTAATTTCATTGAGGCAATTAACTGCCAGACTGCGGTCTCGCCCCACCATGGGGTGGGCCTCGAGAAGAGAGATCTTATGTGTGACAAATTTCATTTGGTCAATTTAACCAAAATATTTTTCTCCTTACTAAAAGCTTGTAACAAAATTAGGGCAGATAAACACATTTTCACTTCCACAGAGAAAGCTGATCCTGCAGATGATGGCAGTCACATTTGGGAACCAGGTCCATTTGTCACCTGGAGAAAGGCCTATACATTTATGTTTTGGCAGAATATAGCTGATGGACTCGCTTTAGAAAGACGCAACCATGTTTGGAGAAAGATGAACATGAAGTACACGAAGGAACCACAAAAGCCTCATCATAATTCCTTTTTCAGGTTACTGACACCCCGAAGGGAGGGGCTATTTGTTTATGTTTTCACAGGCAAAGGAGATAGGTGGATTTCTCTTCAGCCAGCAAGGCCCAGAAGAAAGGAGGGAAGCTGACCCTGTCCTGCTACTGAAGTTATCCAAAACATCAAGAAGACCTTGCAAATTCCTGAGAATGGTGATTGCTGATTACTGAGATATTTCTTCCATTGCTGATGCTGTTTAAGGGACACTCTGGGACTCTATCATGACTGATCATTTTATACAATAGTGACAGGACTATTACATCAGAGTGTTCTTTTGCTGAAAGATCAAGATTTTGGACTTGTCAACTATTAAAATGTGATTGGAATGTAACTAACTTTTGTATAAAACCTTACCCATATAATAAGAAATTGCATGTTTGGGATTTGATAAGAAAACATTTGCAAGGGTTTAAGGGAAGCATTTCATTAGATGTTGATCAGCTTAAAAAGGATATTTTCTATACATTCAAAGACAGACTTGAAGCATCTCCTGGCTCTGATATAATTAGGCAATTGGTGAATGACAAGGATTGGATCCTCAAGCTTGGGTTCAAAGTATTTCTCATAGCCTGGGTTCAAGCCTAACAGTGCTGTTCATAATCACAAATTTTGTCCTGGCTATCACGTGTTGCTTCTATAGAAAGCTAAGACGTGTGAAGGAGAATCATACGGCCTCTGTGACACTTTTGAAGTGTATAAAGCAAACACTGAAGGATGAATCCTTCATTCTCTCGCAAAGGAGCCTGGCAGGCTGGGTTTCTAGTGGTAGGGGGGACACCTCCACCCTTGTGAGTTGTAGGTAAGTCCTAATCACATTCTCATGATATTGTTCCTCACTTTACCCTCCTATATGGTGCTGATTTGAGGTTGTCTCTTACAAGCACATAGCTGATTGCTGTGTGGCCAGCAGCTTTAATATAGAAGCAGACATTCCTATTTGGCCCCATTTCTTCCTGCCGCGGCATCCAATCCCTCTCATACCTTCTTCCAATAGCAGATGGGCATATGGAGATTTTATCCCCCAGGCCTGAATTAAAAATGTTTGCTACAAGCCTGAATTTTTGACTGTATTAATTGGATCATGGAGTTTTGCCTTGACAGCTTTTAATGTATAGAAAATAACCTTGTCGCCCATGTGGCTCTTTTGAATTTTATATATAAAACAGAAGGGGGAATTATGAGAAACAGAAAGATTTCCCCAACTTGTCTCCTCCAAATATGCTGACTTAGGACACTGCTTGTGGCTAATGATAAAAGTTACTTCCCTTGAGGCAATCAGCTGCCAGACTGCTGTTTCACCCCACCACTGGGTGGGCCTGGTCCCTGCTGCTAGGGACAATGGGATAAGGCTTGGGACCATTAGCTTGGTTCCTGTAGGTGGAGTTTATACCCTACTGATAATGGTTCCTATGGAGATCCAGAGAACAGAACAAACCAGCTCAGTTACATCCAAAGTTAGCTGCCATCCTGAATCTAGGATCCGCCCATCTTGTCACATGTATACTCCTAATCACTCCTCTTCCTATTACGTGTATATCCGTGGATTGTTCCCCTCTCATTGCTGTATAACCCATAGTGCAGCCCCTTCCTGTGACGTATCTGTAATTGGTGGGCTTGCACGCCCCCAAAGGTATAGAGGCCTGG